TCTTCTTCTGGGGGGTACCCTGGAGCTGGGTAGCTTGGCCAAGGCAACAGAGACTGGCTCTTCTCTCAGGAGTTACCACAGGGAATTGAACTCCCAGCCTCTGGCTCCATAGCCTGATATCTAAACCACTGAGCTATCCAACCAACTAGATTTTTACATAGGCTCCAGCATTTTCTTCATTTGTAAGAATGTATCTGTGCCTCACATGGGCTCCATTTTCATTCTTAGAAAACAGAAATTGCAGAATAGCACTCTGTTGTGAAGAAAGAAACAAGAAAGAAAAGAGGTTACAGCATTGGGGACAATATCATGGTGAACATGGGGTTCAGAGGGAGATTATCTGGACCTGGGATGGGTAGGTAGGAAGCATCTTGTACACTAGAGAAAATGACAGAGAGCCAAGGATATTCTGTACATATGCTGGCTGTGTGTTTGATTTTGTTTTGTTTGTTTGTTTCCTTGTTTTGTGTGAGGAATATAAGCTGGACTTTTTCTATAAGTAGCATGTGTTCTGTCTAAATTTTGTATGCATGACTTACCGTACCTTTTTGTAGGTTACAGTTATATTGTAGTAAGCTATTGTGTCTGTCTCTCTTTTTCTGGACATTACGAGTTTGTCTTCTGTGAAATGAATATTTTGTTGTGCTTTGTTTGGCAAATATATGCTTTCACATATTGATTTCAGATGCCAGCTTTGCTTTATAGTAAAGTCATAATACACAATATGCTAACCACATATAGCTTAACATCATTTTCAGTTTTACTCTAGCGTGAGTGTCTGCAGTGCCATGAATGAGTGTGTGGAACTAGTATGTGTGGAGTTGGAGATATAAATCTTCATACCATCTTCTTTTTTTTTCCCTAGTTTTTTTTTAAAATCACTACTCTGTCCATTTAAAAAAGAAAGGGGACATAAGTTAATGCCAGTGAGAAATAGCTGTGAAAGAATTTTGATTAATGATATGTTAAACATAGAGTAGGTTTTGTTAAAAAGACAGTTGAGGTGTTCTGAGAGAACTTTAATGCCATCATCCCACAATACAGAAAGTCATTCCAACATCAATGAACATTATCCTATGCAACTCGCTGCTAAATATAAATTACTTTAAGTGCAGTAATATCTGATATGAATAATTATTTCATGAGTTTTGACATTCGGACTTGAGGATTGTATACTTAATAACTGTTTTTGTAGCATCAATGTCCTACCAATAGTACTGAGTATAGGCTAGATAGCATTCAGTATGAGTAATTTAACTTTTATTCTTTCCAGATATAGCTTATGTGATGTTTCAAAAGACATGTCATAAGCAATGACATACGTATAATTAATGAGAGGTAGTCATCATAAATATACTGAGTTCTCCTTCAATGTAATAACTGTCTGGATTGTGTGACAGTATATATGTTTCCTCATGCTACAGATGGTCAAGTAAGGCATAAAAAGTGAATATACTCCCTATGATTAACTCATTTTCCTTCCCGTAATGGTATATCCTCAGAGATATATGCTTCAGGAGTAAATTGGAAGACACGTTGGTTATGCGTATCCTATGCCAAATAGACATCTCACTACTTGAGGAAATATCACTAGTTGTCCAGTTTCACTAATAATCAGCCAGATGGAAACATGCAGTCAGTATCTGAATAACCTGCCAGTTTCAGAAAGAAAAAAGGAATATTTGGGTAAAATCTCTGCAACATACATAATTAGCAGATGCACACTAAGTATTCCTTAAGCAGTAGTATGGCTGGGCAAGTCCAGAGTTCAGTAGTAAACTATATGCAAAAGGTCTGAGGTTCAGTACCTTACATTCATGTGGAACAGTGATGGTTTTCTATTTGAATCTTGTAGATCCTCTGCCAGTCAATGTACAGTCTACCTTGTAAACAACAGTGAACAAAAAGTTATACTTTGCGATAGACAATGAAGATATATACATACCAAAGTACTAGACACCTTAGGTGATTGAATGTGAGCCATTTAATTGCTTTTTAGTCCTGAAGAGATTCTCTCTTCAGAATGGGTAGAAAGATGAAACTCTTGTGGCATGCCTACATTATTTGAAAATACACGTGCACACAGATACATACATGCTTCTCTAAGCATTTGCTGTCAATACATAAGGAATGTTTGAAAAAGGAGATGTTAGATGGTTAACTGATTCCCTCACGTTTTTAGAAGGGCTCTTAAAATTTTCCTCAGCCTGTGTGGTGTGAGTTGATTGACTTATTTGGATTGAGATTCTAGCTGGTACAGTTACTGATTTTCAAAGATCTTATCTCTTTTAATTGACATTTGTTGCAATAATGTTTTTATAGTAACAGCAGTGGGCTGCTTTGGATAAGGGGGAAATGTGATAGCAGTGTTATAATAGTTAAGCCAAATTATGAATTAGTTTATTCTGAGGTTTTATGAACTTCTTAGTTACGGGAATTTGTTCTCAGTATAGTTTTGTATTCATATACAAACCCTGAATACAAATAAAGCACATGAATTAATTTTACATAAAATGTAAAAGGTGAATGTGTGGATTTGTAGCCCTTTCTGTTCTGTTCTTTAGTCATTTAGTCGTGTCCGACTCTTTGTGACCCCATGGACCAGAGCATGCCAGGCTCTCCTGTCTTCCACGGCCTCCTGGAGTTTGGTCAAATTAACGTTGATAGCTTTGGTGACACTGTTCGACCATCTCATCCTCTGTCGTCCCCTTCTCCTCTTTCCTTCACACTTCGCTAACATCAGGGTCTAGTTCTGTAGGGTCTAGTTCTGTTCAAAATACAGGTGCAAGCCATCACAGTTTTGTTTGCTTTGATTTATATTTTGTCTTTCTCAAAAAAATGGAGACAACATGATGTACTCAAGGTAAGCAGATAAAACAGATTATGGTATCAAAAGACAATTAATTAAGAAAATTATATTAAAACAAAATGAAATTTAAAGAAAACATTAATTATTTACCATTAATGTAATTTTACATAAACCAAGTATGCAAGTCAATTCTAAAGACTCTTAAATCTTATTCCAGTAAGTGAGATTTACATTAGAAGAACTAGGGATGTGAAGAATTGTGATAGACTTGCTTGTTATCAATGAGGCAGGCTGTCTTGATGTGCCAAGCTGTCTGTTGAGAAATTGATTACTCCTGTGAGATTGCTTCCTTCCAGGTCAAGATTGAAAGAGGGTTTTTTTCCCCCTCACTGTTGTGGTTTCTGCAGATTGCATTAAAAAGTCTCAAACTGAGTTTGTTCTGCCCTCATGAAGCAAAGCAGATGTGCACGACACAACAGGCACTGAAAGACTGGATAGCTGGTCAAAGATGTAAATAACCCATCTGCTGCTTCTAATTTTTAAAATGCCAGAAAACTGTGTGGCAGCTATTGTAGATCTGTGCAGTTTGTACAAAAACCATTCTCACATATGTATGCCAGAAAATATCTCCAGGTCTCATAGGTGAGAAGGAAAAAAATGTAGTCTCTTATTGTCACAGAGAAGAAAAAAGAGAAGCAAGAATGTTCATCCCTAAGAAAGGCACACTAAAGTTTAGGGTGGTATATATTGATTTGTTTATTAAGACATTGTTTGTTCCCAACCTTATCTAAGGAAGGGAGGACCTTGTATAATTTTTTTAAAATACATGAAAGATGGTTTAAATTAAAGAAAGCAATAGTGGGCAGCAAGATGAACTGCCATATTCACTGTCTCCATGCTGTTGCTTTTATCATGTGGTCTGGGCATCTGATCTCCTCCCATCAAGGCCATAAGAACTCATTCCCATAAGAGGAAAGTGCAAAATGATATCCTGAAATGATATCATTCTTTTGAACTATGAACAGCTCTTGGTAACAGTCCCCTCTATTCTGAGGTGTTGTTGTCTTATAACTAACACCAAATGTTCACTTTTACTTTTCTCTTTGTCCCACTTCTCTGGTCATCCCTTTGCTTTTTCCTGTGTCTTTTAGTTGTTAGGAAGGGTCTTAGAGTCCAAAGTGCCTTTCTCCAAAGAGGGTTGACCTCTAAAAGTCTGTATGTGTCGTGGCTTTAGCAGAGTCTGAATTTCTCTGTCCATTAAACAACAAAACAAAAGTAAAGAAACTTACTGTGATGGTTAGAGACTAGTTGCTGTTTTCACCTGTCCCTTCTCATGGTACCACATGAAACAGTTTACTGGACACAATTGTATGGCATTGCTAACTCGTGAATTCAGGACAGGTCATGTTACCATGTTGCCAATTTATAGTCATTGTTGACAATTGCTCATTATCAAGTTTCTTATGGTGTTTCACGGCTTTAAGACTGTCCTGGAGCTGTAAATGTATACTGTATGTTGGAATCTGACTTGGGGTGGGGGCACAGTTTTTTAAATCAAAAATTTGGGTAGAAAAGTAATCAATTTAGTAAATACTTCAAAAAGACTGTAAAATAAGAAGTCCAGACGCTTTCATGATTGTCATATTCACTGAGTTACCTTAAGGAAACCATTTTCTCAGCTGCATACGGGAGGGGGGTGCTCTGTGGATAAGATGAAAGAACACTCAGATACACTGAATGCAGATGGTACTTAGGTATTTGGAAGAAGAGTGAGATGAATATAACAGGCAAATAAAAACAGGAATTTAAACTCAGGCCTCTACACAAAGACCCTGAAGAGTATGTGGACCAGAATCCTGGGTAAGATACGGACATTTCCTGTAAACCCGTAAGACACATATACTGACTTTCCACCTTTCATAGTATCCAGTAGGCCAATTTTCCTGCATTCTAAGGAAGAGGCGACTGGGGAATCTGAAAGGCTTAATGGCAGTCCCTTGCTATCTACAGGGCGGTGCCTCCTAGGAGGGAAGGAAGGAAGGATCAGAGCTGAATTGTGGCAGAAGTGCCTCCTGGAGGAGGAGCAAGATTGCAAAAGTGACTGATTAATAACCAAATATAGAGAAATGTAGTTTACATCAAGTATTACGAAATCTTCTGACACTAAAACCTTCCTTTAAATATGTTACAGATATTTTGGCCTGCAGCAAAGGAGAAGGTGGATTTGTGCAAACTAGCTGGAAAGGATGCCCATGTAAGTACCAGGATGATATAAATGCCCTTCATTTGTTTTGGTGCTGATTAAAATCTATATATTGATTTAATTAGGATTGTTTAAGTGGAACTTAGCTGAGCTGCTACCTCTTTTTTTATCTAGTAAACTTCTGTTGTCATGATAGTGGGCTGTAGTTAGGGCCTGGATGCTGAATGGATCCTGGAGGAAGGTCTTAGATTTCTGAGTGTTCATTTTTTTTTCCCCATCATCAATTCTTTTAAAGACTTCAGTTCCTCTGTCTGCATACCATTTCACTCACTTTAGAAGGAGGACAAAGATGCACCCGGGTAAGACTGGGAAAGAGTCCTGAATACTCTTTGAGATGAAGGGATCGGCAAACCAATTTTCAGCTATCAGGCTGCTTGTCGTTACTGTCCTAGACTGTTCTGAGTGTGGCCGGACCTTTTAATTTAGATTTTAATAAAAGAAATTCACAGCCATGTCAATGCTGTGGTCATGTTGGACACCAATTCTTCTCAATGTTTCTGTTCAAACAACATTCTAACAAGAAGTAGCATAGTTCATAGTATGGGGTGTCACCATTCTGCCCCACCACCTCCCAAAATCACTGTGTCTGGAACTTTGCTATATCCTTAAACCATTGCCCCCTGAATATACCACCTTGAACTGTACAGTCTTGTCTGAAACTCAGCAAGGTCAAGCCTGGTTAGCACATGTGCAGGAGACCATGAGGAGATACCAGAGACCTCTAGATAGGATCAGGAAAGAATTTTGCCTTGAAACCCTGGAGCACTGCTGCCAGTCAGAGTTGGTGATACTAGCTTATATAGACAAGGATTGAAAATCAGTATAAGGTAGCTTCTTGTGTGTCTGTCACAAGAAGCTTATAGAAAAACAGCAGCCTGGTGTACCATTGGCATCTCTACCAGTAGCAACAGAGATTTTCAGTAAAGAAAACAAACGAATGAGCAAAACATCACAGGTAGTGCTCATCATTGATGATGGCAAGCCCCCCCTCTGTCCAAACCTGCACCATTTTTGAAGCATTCTTCCTTTTCCAAGTTATTGTTGTTATTTTTGTTTTTATTGCCCCCTTCTCATTCTACCTGATTCCCCTTTTGTGAGGGAGGACCTCAGCTTAGTTGCAGTTTTTAAGTTGAGTTTTGAAGGAATGTTGGCAGAGGGCACCTGACTAATAAAGAATGATTGATGCTACCAATGGTAAATTGTTAATAAGCCAGGCTTTCATTCTATTCCCTTTTCTAAAAAGGATCTTGTAATGGGTTTTCAGAGTATAGCACTGAACAATGATGTTTCAAGGATGATGTGGAGTGAAGCAGAGCAGAAAGCGTGATTAGACAACTTTGGGAAGAGTTCATATAGAAGAGGTGGAGGAGTATCCATTACAGAGTGGAGCTTACAGGTTTCCATCATTCACTGTGAGGCCTTTGAAGTGAACAGGGATTGTAATTTCTGTGGATTTACTGTTTTCATCTATTTCTCCTTTTGGAGGGGGAGGCAGTGTGTGCTAGAAATGTGCTGAGCACAGCATGAGCACTGTATATTAACAAGGAGACTTCTGAATTAATATTATGGCTATTATTTGGCAGCTGCAATTAATTAAAGACCTGTGATGATGCTAAGAGGTTGACAGAGATCTAAGGCAGAAAGATCTGGTGTTACTCGAATTATAGATGGCAAACCACTTTTGTCTAGTACTTGAATTGTTAGACTGGCATATGAAAAAGCAGGGTTTTAATTTACACAGAACCATGGAACTAACTGAGTAACTATGAAGTAATCATTATCTCAACCTGACCTACAGAGTTATTTTGAATTTAAACTGGGGAGGTGAGGGACCACTCGGGGAAAGGGGGATATAAATGGCACAAATAAATAAGCTGTGGTCCTCCTTAAGCAAAAGTGTCCCTATTTCTCCTCACCTCCACCGGTTTCCCTTATATCATTTTTCCACCAATATTTGGCCCATAATGTGGTTCTGCTTGGACATTTCAGACCATAGACCTCACAAAGCAGAAACTTTAATCCAAATCATGGTTTGAGATGTCAAAGGGACAACAGGCAACCTGTTGTTTTGAGTAGTCATCTGTTCTTGTAACATGAGCCAAAGCAGAGATACAGTTTATTTTCTGTCCTCTGAGCTTTGTAACTGTGCAGATACCTTCCTGTATATTTGATGGAGCAGTGGTTTGTTTATTTATTTATTCAGACACAGAGCCAGGCTGTCTTCAGTTCAAACTGGGGCTTGGCAAAGCCTCTACAAACTGTGGCTTGACAGTCCAGATGCTGAGTCACAATTAGGCTAAGCTATGTTTGCTGTGAAAGCTGGATGCTGCAGAATACTTATTTAAAAAATAGTACTCCATAAGCCTCTTCATAGGGTTCCAAGCTTTAACAAACCAAGTGAAATTTTCCTAACTTATTAATAATCTTCCTATGCTATGCATTGGCCTGGTCAGTTAATATATGGATTTCCAACATGTACATTTTCCACTGTTAATGGTGATTAACAATTTCTTCCTGTCTTTCCTCAATAGACAGAATGTGCCAACTTCATCAGAGTCCTTCAGCCTTACAACAAGACCCATGTTTATGTCTGCGGTACGGGAGCTTTCCACCCAGTCTGTGGCTACATAGAACTGGGAACACACAAAGAGGTAATTTAATCCATTCCCAAATGGTGCATGACAAGGAATGGTTGTAACTTTCCCTAGCATCCATCATTTCCTTGAAAATACAGTCTATGCCATATAAAAAATGATCTGACAGTCCTTTGTACAAACAACAGGGTAATGTTAAGTTTTTACCAGTCATGTAAGAACTCATGTTCTCACATATTTTGATGTGTGCCTATTGCACGTTGGCAAACTACTCTGCTAGATTAAGGTGATTAATATGGTTCTACATGGACTCATTTTTTCTGATGATTAATTGTGTAAAGGGCACATTTCAGCTCAGATGACTTAATGGACCTTTCCCCAGCAGGGACTGGGAGTACGTTAATGAAACCCCAACAAGTCCATTGAAATGGGTAGCGTGATGTGGTGGGTAGAGTGTTGGATTAAAAGGCAGCTGTAGTTCAGATCCCTGCTGGACTGCAGTTTTCAGTGGCCCGTTGTATTCTTTTTCTCCCAGAAGGTTGCAGTCAGGACCGATTGAATGAGAGCTGTAAAATATATCATACACGATTTCTCCAGAAATCAGCAATACTGCTGCTAATACTAGTAATACATAATACAGTACTATTTAATACACCACTGCCATTTAGATTGCTGCTTCTACTGTTAATGTTAACTAACTCTGTTAGATAGTAATAGATGATAGCTGTCAGAACATGGGAATAATTGTATTGATCTACCTACCCTAGAGTTGAAATGTCTTGGTCATCATTTCATTGGGGCAGGAAACAAAGCAAAGCAAAAAACAGGAGAGAAGGAATTTATTTTCATGTTCATAAAACTGAGTACAGCTTCTCTCTGCATAAAAGCCAGATTGTCTTGTATGTACAGCACAATTGTATTTTCAAAAGCCAGGCTATTATACTTTTGGGAGGAGATAGTGCTGAAAATCTTGGTTTGCTGGAGTATTGACTCTAATCTCCTGTTGTGGAAGCAAATCCTGCACATGTTCTTCTGTTATCTAATGAGTTTTCTTTTCCTGCTGGCCAGCCTTTGAGACTTGCCCACATCTGCAGTCTTGAATCTCTTCGGAGAAACTTCATATCTGGCTAGTAATTGCCTGCCTTTTAGCTTGGTTTTGATCTATCAAAAATTGTCGCAGAAAGGGTGACATCATGCAGTGAGATTACAGATCCAGGCAGCAAAGTGGCCATGCCTTCTGGTTCAGTAAACATACAGGTATAAAAGTGTCCTATTGACTTTAGCAGCAATAGTCAGGCAAGATAAGTTCAAGGCAGTTGGCCCACAAGAATCTGGATGGTAGAGATTGGAAGAGCAAGGTCAGCCTTCAAGCTAGGATGTCTGTCCATCAGTTCAGTTACAAAGATAAGAGAAGCCTTGAATATGTTATCCTCTTCTATTATGTCTGTCATACAAGTCTTGATTAGGATGCCAACACTCATTTGGTGCTGCTAGGCTTGTGATTTTGTCATGAAGTTGCACTGGGCCTGTGCAGAGTCTTCCTAGAACACTTGTTATAATTTTGCCTGTCAGAGTTTTAGTTTTCCCTCCTTTGGGCTGAAATTTAAGAGTTGGACTCACCTTTTAGTTTCAGTGTGATCAAAAAAAACATACAGTTTAACCACTGTAATGACTGGAATTGTCTGAACATAAATCTGTGCATGAAAGGAGATAACTGCAAAGAAAACCAGAGACTTGTGATTCATGCCAACTCCCTTTCATATATGAACTTCTCTGTCTGAAATCAGACAGTCTCTTGTCTGTAACTCTGACATAATGAATATGTCCTTTATATGCAGGATGTAATGTTCAGATTTGATGCTCACAACCTGGAGTCTGGTCGATTGAAATGCCCCTTTGATCCTCAGCAGCCATTTGCATCTGTGATGGCAGGTAAGATCTCAGTTTCTGTCCTGATTTCCCATTCAGCATAACAGAAGCCCACTACATTTAAGAAAAACAAATGTGATGGTCCCTGGTTCAAATCCTCCTTCTGCTAGGAATTAGATGATTGGCACCTCATTTTCAGCATCAGCCCCATCAGACTGAACGTTTGGTGTAATAATGCCAGTGTATTTTACAAGGCAGAATGACAGCATATCATGAACACAAAGGACATGCTGTGAATGTACAAGGATCACACTCATAGCATGGTTTTATAGGATGCACCAGAGCATAACATCTTAACCAGTGTGTTTGTAAGATGTTGTCTAGTACATCCTGCAAATATTTCACTGTACTGCAGCTTTACACATAGCTATAGGCAGGAAAGATGCAATTAATACTCTGAATTGAGAGTAGATTTCACTGAATATAGCAGGACTTTCTTCTGCAGAGACTTGAGCTGTTAGTCTAATTTAAGTGCATGAGTGGAGATTTGCAATAACACAACCGTAATTACTGGGTTCTGTTCATGTAAATCATAAATCTACATTCATCCTTATCTTTATAAGCACCTCATAAAATTTCTTCCAAAGCCATAACTTAATAGCAGAGCAAATGCTTCACAGGTATATTATCCCAAATTCATTCACTGGCATTTTGAATGTAAATGATCTCATGTTCTGGGAAAGGTTCCTGCTGGACTCCTTGAAATGCTGCTTCTAGTCATTGCTTGTAACACTGAGCTGGGAGGTCAATTTACTTGAGCTACATGTCTGCTGTAACCAACATAGCACTTTCTCCATGTCTCTTGATTAGGGATGGATAGACCTTTGTCAGTTCCCATTTCTGTCTGTTCTGTATTTTGCCTGGTGTAAGTTTGTATCTCCTTGTTGTTTGGGAGGGTTTACTTTTACTTAATTTTTCTTCACCTTTCTCTGTATATATGCATTTCCCATGTAATTTTGCCTGATACAGACATTTTTGTGTGCAGTTAATACAATGAATTTTGGTATGTTGTTTTCACTAACATATACAGTTTGCTTATATTTTGTCCTAGTATCTACCTTGTTGCATGCATTTCTGACTGAAAACTAAGTCATAAATCCTGAACGATAGCTCTGTTTGCAGTCACATGCATGCAAATTAGGCTGATTCACATAAAATGGGAACTGAACATTTCTCGTTTATCTCTCTGCTTGAGGTATATTTGTGTGTGAATTCCTCAGTGCTTGTATCTGACAGAAATACTTTGAAAGCATTCATGTGGAAGAAAGTCCTGTTTATTAAAGATTTGCATTGTTAAAATACAAGCTTATGACACCACCTAAGAGTGTTATTATCAGCCTGTCCTTTTCCTGTCCTTAAATCATAATTCGTGAAGCCAAATAACTTGCTGTCATGAAATGTGAGAATAATCACCTTACTTCAGCACTCACAATGACTACCTGGGTCATGGTTATTGTTTCATAGCTTCTACTCATTTTCATTTAACTTGTCCATCAGGTTTTGCGCCTTAAATAAGATAAGAGGGATGCACCATGACATTTTTATCTGTGTTTCTTTGAAGGCTTTGTCACAGCATTTATAAAAAGAATATGACTCATGTTAGGTCTTTGTTCTCAGATAATGAGATTGATGGATTCTAACCTTGACCCCTCCAAGGGCCAAGACGTCCATTATTAAAAGCACAATGGGGTTGTCTGTCTTTGGATGTCCAACCTCTTTAAAATGGCCTTAAAGCATTCCACACAGGATTCCTGGAAAATTCGCCCTATCTTTCCTTTCACTGAGACAAAGATGATGATATATTATAGTGCTTTGCAATTTTCTAAGATGCATTTCTTATTGAACTGTCACAGGGGGAAGCTATTTCAATAGCTGCATCAGATATCTGATGTTGAATTTGTCTTGATCATATACTACTTCTTGAAGTGTGTTTCTTGTGTCAAAGATATGGTCTGAGACTTGAACTTGTTTAACAAAGTAGATTTAAGACTGTGCTTGCTCAGGCAAGTGAGAACAGGCCTAAAACTTGTGAGGTCTACTTTGTGTATTTATTTTATTTATTTTTTATTTTATTGGATTTATACCCCACCCATCTAGACCAAAGGTCTACTCTGTACTTCACATGTCATTTGATTCCTCTGATCCATAGACCAAGGCCAGCTGCAAAATAATTGTTTGGAGAAGTAGAACCAAATGTAAACTGGTGGTTGAAGCCTGGGACCACTTACCCTTACTCCATGTGCAAAGTATTGGACAGCCTCGTCGTCTAGTCGTTTAATTGTGTCCGACTCTTCGTGACCCCATTGACCAGAGCATGCCAGGCCCTCCTATCTTCCACTGCCTCCTGGGGTTGGGTCAAATTCATCTTGGTTGCTTCAATGACACTGTCCAACCATCTCATCCTCTGGCGTCCCCTTCTCCTCTTGCCGTCACACTTTCCCAACATCAGGGTCTTTTCCAAGGAGTCTTCTCTTCTCATCAAATGGCCAAAGTATTGGAGCCTCAGCTTCAGGATCTGTCCTTCCAGTGAGGAATCTGGTTTGATTTCCTTTAGAATTGATAGGTTTGTTCTCCTTGCAGTCCAGGGGACTCTCAAGAGCCTCCTCCAGCACCACAATTCAAAGGCATCAATTCTTCAGCTTTCTTTATGGTCCAGCTCTCACTTCCATACATCACTACAGGAAAAAACATAGCTTTGACTATTCGGACTTTTGTTGGCAACGTGATGTCTCTGCTTTTTAAGATGCTGTCAAGGTTTGTCATTGCTTTCCTCCCAAGAAGCAGGTGTCTTTTAATTGCGTGGCTGCTGTCTCCATCTGCAGTGTTCATAGAGCCCAAGAAAGTAAAATCTGTCACTGCCTCCATATCTTCCCCTTCTATTTGCCAGGAGGTGATGGGACCAGTGGCCATGATCTTAGTTTTTTTGATGTTGAGTTTCAGACCATTTTTTGCGCTCTCCTCTTTCACCCTCATTACAAGGTTCTTTAATTCCTCCTCACTTTCTGCCATCAGAGTGGCATCATCTGCATATCGGAGGTTGTTGATATTTCTTCCGGCAATCTTAATTCCGGCTTGGGATTCCTCCAGTCCAGCCTTCCACATGATGTATTCTGCATATAAGTTAAATAAGCAGGGAGACAATTGGACAGCCTACATATAAATAATAATATAATAACCTTTCAACTGCAGGTCTGGAAGGGACTCCATGGATCATCAATTTCAGCCCCTCTCAAGGAGGCCTAGTGGGGAACTGAACTCCCAGCCTATGACTCCCCAGCTAGAGATCTAAGCCACTGAGCTATCCAGCATAAACTGGATTAAGACATCCAAATTGCAACAGGTCAAGGATTTTAATAAGTCCTATTCAGGCATTCTCTTTTAAGAATAAATCAACATGCAAGGAAGAGGAGCTTGCTCATCCCAACTATCCATTCTCACTCTGCTCACATGAAGAGTAGTTGTTTAGAAGTGAAGAATTTCCTCTGTACATGGGAATTTTCAATGAGTGTCAGAATTCTTAACTTTCAGAATTCTTGGCTTTCACGCAGAGAGCCTTCACATGTACACTAATTACAGGGTGGGCATAGTTATGTCCCTTCCTTTCCACGTGTCTCTTTGGCCCTAAAAATAGAATGTTTGAATCAGGCTGGAGAAAAGTCCATACCTTGCCAGAAAACCAGCACATAAATCTAGTCAAAAGCAGCCAATGATATTCTCATTTTACACGTGAGTGTCACAGGGGCTGAACAAGAAACAATTAATCCAAGGCCAGACACGAGACAAGCAATTTTAAGGAACAACAGGTTGCTTTAATATACTTAAGTACAAAGCTCCAGGCTTTGTCTCTGTGTATGTGTGTGTGTGTGTGGGGAGGGGTTGTTGTTGCTGGTTTTTTGAAGCTCCAAGTGGATTTTTGAAAGCAGACCAAGTGCATCTATCAGAAAGAGTCTGTTTCCCCATTTTCAGTTCAAGCCTTTTTTGGCTCTAGTTAAAGTAATAGCTTCTGTTCCAGAAGTAAAGGATTTCTGGGTTTTCAAAATTCTCTCTCTTTATTTGATGTTGAGAATGAGCTGAAGTGCCAATCTCTAACATCCCTGCAGCCCATCCATGATGGGCTGTAAGGCTAGCCTCTGCAATATCCATCATGCTGGCATTACAACAACGTCTTGGGGTGGGGGGCACCCTGCTACTGTACAATCACAGATACTATAAACCCTACTAGCACAACTTGGCAACATGACAGAAACATTTAGGATGGAGGTGAGCCAAAGACAGAGCGCTGTTTATCCTAGAGCTGACATTGAAGAGTTGTTCATCTCCTTGGCCAGACCCTGATACACAATTATCGAGGACCAGCTGAAATTAAAGCCCTCTGTTTGGCAACTGTTGTCACATAAATAGGCTGTTTTATTAGCATGCAGTGGCTGACTCTGTGGTTTGTTCAGTTTTTTGCCACATCACCACAAGTATTTGGGGAAGGAGGATTTCATACTTGACATGAAAGTGTTACAGTAACTTTTCTCCACCACTTAGATCTGGAGGAGCTTAAAGCAGACTCAGTGTTGCAGTGGTAAAGTATAAACCCAATGCTTAATCTTTAGCTGTTTGTATGTGGACACGATTACCGCAGCAGTGGTCACACACACTGGTGAACAAGCTGTGTTCAGCATGGATGAACTCCAGAACAGCTAGATATGACGGTGGGCTTAGACATGCAAGGTATACAAATTTATCATCCCAGTTCTTCTGAGGTATACGGAAGAGTGTCTTAAAAACAAATAAACAAACATCACTGTGAACTTGGTTGTAGGTGGATATAGCCAGCATACAGCGGCCACATGCAAAGGGGAAACAGGAGTGCAATGTCATAGTTCAGGAAGGTTATGTATACTGAAAAGATGAAGAGGACTAGAACTAGTGGACAAATAAGTTCCTTCTTTGGGACTTTCCTCCCATTGCCAGAGGCACATTTTTCCTCCATCAATCAGTCTTACTGAGACTTTTTGGCGTTCCTTGAAATTTCTTCAGATGCTTTCATGAGGAAGGTCTTTTAACTTCACTGAAAATGGTAAGCATCTAGATAGATCACATGGAGGAAAGATGATATGTGAGTAAGCCTTCAAAAAGGATGGGTGATAACTGAATACTATTAACTAAAACATATCCTGTGGATAGTTACATCAAGAGTTTGCCTTTTTTAAAGCCTTCACTTATCAGCTTTAGAAAGGGCATCCAAGTGCATCATTTTTTCATGCCACTGTTATTGCACTATTTCATGTCCATCTTCTTTTAACAGTATATTTTCTCCATATGATTCCTAGGAAGTAACAAATGTGCAGGAGATCAAAGAACAAGCTGAGTGCTGAAAGGCTCTTGTCATCAGGAGTTAAAGCAAGGATGGGCTGTTTCTTTTAAGCCTCCTACTTTATCCGTCAGTGAGCATGTCTGTCAGTTACAAGACATTAGTTACACTATTCATACTTCATTGTGACTTTTGCCTTTCAAAGTGTGTTGTGATCACTGTATGATGGAATCTTTTGGTCCCAAAATTAACTTTTAAAAATTAACAATTCCTATTTGTTTTTTAAAAAAGAATCAGAAGTCTTTGATTGTAAATACAGGGTCTGTTTTATAGAAAAGCTTTCTTCAGAGACCTCTACATGGGAAACTGGAACCATGGGTTTTGCTGAAAAGGGGATCTGTGGATTTATCTTCCCTGTCATACTTTCATTACTGAGTAGAATTGACCTTGTGGGTCTTGTGTTTTTGATAATTCTACGTTGTCAGCTGCTACTTGTTTTGAAGCAAGACTAAAGGGGAAGTTGCCATGCTACCACCCAAATCACAGTGGTAGATGGGAGATTTAGTAGCAGGGGGCTCAAGCCATAGATTTCCCATCCCTGGAAAATATGCTTCTCTATCTGAAATGCTAGTGGCTGAAGATGAAAGCCTGTTGCCTTCATGTCTGTATTGTGGTCTTATGAGAACAATTTGATTTTCCACTCTTTAAAACAGAATGCTAGAGTAAATGGTCTGATCCAAGGAAATTTTTATTAAAATTGGAAGCTTATCAACTCCAGAAAATAAATCAACTTCTGCATTGTTTTAAGACCGCATGACTGCATGGCTCTTTTGGGAAGATATATACAGCAAGAGAAAACAAAAACATAGCCTCTGTATATCTCTCTGTGTCCACAGTTTTGATTTCTGTTTGCTTTTGTCTGTAGATGAATACCTCTACTCTGGGACTGCTTCTGATTTCCTTGGCAAAGACACTGCTTTAACACGTTCCCTAGGCTCATCACAAGACCACCATTACATCAGGACTGATATTTCTGAACATTACTGGCTCAGTGGTAAGAGGCTAAGCATCCTGCTGTAGAATGTTTTTTTTAAAAAATGTTTTATAGTCCAGAATCTGATTTGCTGTATAGTATAAGCATGTATAGTATAAGCATGTATAAAATTACAGGCATCCTTGTGCATTTTCAAGTCTGAGATCATAACTTGACTGTAAGTGGAGATCTTGAAAGTTGGGTGGAATGCTGCCCCATTCTCTACTGTGGAAGAGGCAGTTTCACATTGGACATGCATGTCCACTGTGGTATCTCCAGTTTTGCGAGCAACAAATTACTGATGAAGTTAATGAGGACTCTAGGCCTGAGATGCTCTAGTGGGTCAGGCAGATGACAATGGGGAAAGACGCTTCAACAAGTAATGTGGGCCCAAACCGTGGAGGGCTTTATATGTGAGTGTCGAAACCTTGAACCTGATCCAGGACCCAATGGGCAACAGTGTGTATGTGAGCCAGGACTGGAGCGATACAATCAATTTTGCTCACACCAACAACCAGTCTGGGTGTTCCATTCTGGAGCTGCTGAAGTCTCTAGGTCAGTCTCAAGGGAAGCTCCACGTAGAGAGCATTGCAGCAATTGACCAGGGAGACGACCAGAGCCTGTGCAAAATTCCTGAGGAAATCCTTGTCTAGGAAGGGGCAGAGTTCCTAAGCTGGGTAAAGGCTGATTCCAACACTTCTGCAATGTAGGATTCCCAAGAAAGAGCCAGGTTCAGAAGAAAGCCCAAATTATGAACATGGCCCCTGAGTGGGAGGGCAAGGACATCCAGTTTAGGAAGAATCTCCCAAACCTTTCAGAACCCCCCCCCATCTGGTCTGGATTCAGTTTGAGCCTGTTAACCCTGGTCCATTCCAGTACAAAATCCAGGCAGTGTTCAAGGATCTGGACAGCATCCTCTGCAAAGGTGGTAACGAAGAGACAGAGTTGTGTGTTGTCAGTGTCCTGGTGACACCTTACTCCAACTCTGCTGATGACTTCCCCAAACAGCTTCACATAAATGTTAAACACCATGGGGGATAATGCCGACCCCTGGGGAACCCTATACCTTCAGGTCCAAGGGGCTGACATTTCATCCGCTAGCTGAACTCTCTGGACACAGTCCTCAAGAAAGGATCAGAACCAGCTCAATGCTAGGCTTCCAGTATCAGTCTCCAGGAACCTGTCCAGGAGGTTGGTTGATGGTATCAAAAGCCGCAGAGAGATCCAAGAGTACCAACGGGGTGCATCAGCCTCTGTCAGTTTCCCTTAAAAGGTCATCCTGCAGCGCGACCAGTGTCATCTCAGTACCCTCTTGAGATCTGAATCCAGACTGGAATAGATCAAGGCAGTCCTGCTACTCCAGGTATGTCTGAAGCTGATTTGCCACTACTCTTGATCACCTTGCCCAGGAATAGCATGTTAGTGACTGGATGGTAGTTGTTAAGGCTGTCTGTCACTAACTGGGGCATTTGATGATGGGTGGGACAATAGCTTCTTTTAAATGTGAAGGGAGGATTCCATCCCCGAACAATGGGTTAACAATGTTTACAACCCATAACCCCCTTAGTGGATCTAATTAGTCATGCTCCACAAGGATCCAGTGAGGAGGTGGTAGGGCTACAGCTAGCTAACAGCCTGGAGACTTCCTCCACCACTACAGGGTCAAACTGGACCAACTGAGTGGAGAGAGATGGGGTAGCAGTAGTCACCACCGGATCAACTAAACTACTGATGGAGTTGAGGTCAGCATGAATGGCCTCAATTTTAATTCTTAAAAAGGGTGCAGACTGATTGCTCATAAACTCAAAACATGGCTGTAAATGGCCAGAACTGGTAAGGTTATAGACCACTTGGAACAGTTCTGCCTGTTGGTTCACAGCCTCACCAGTCATCCAGATACTAAAAGCCTTACTAGCCCTTTTTAGGGCATTGGTATGTTTATTGGCCATGATCTTGACACTATCCGTATTTTGAGCTAGCTAATCTTTTCTCCACCTTCTCTGTAGCCATCTCCATGATAACTTCATAGCTTGCAGCCCCTTGGTATACCAACGGGCCTGGTGAGCTATGAAGCGGAGAGGGTGTTTGGGGATGATTGTGTCAGCCACCTGGGTCATCTCCAGATACCACCTATTAACCTGGGCTTCAACAGTATTGTCTACCATCTCAGCTGGAAGCCCCCCCAGAGCCTCCCAAAATTGATCCAGGTCAAGAAGCCTGCGAGGATGGACCAATTTCACATGTCCATTATCCCTCCAGGTCAGGGGTCACTGTGGACAGGTTGAATCTCAGTAGGAAGTGATCTCTCCATGACACTAAGGTTACTTAATTATAATTAGAAACACCTAGTTACTTTTAAAATTCATTTATTAAAGGTATTTTAAGATATGTTTAGAGTAATTTAACGTATTTTTTCTTACGATTTATGTGATTTGCTTATCAATATGATGTGGCAAGAAAAATATTCTTTGGTGATGCAATATCAGAATTGGTCACCACAGGAAACTAGAAATTATCTCCATGTATTTATTTTTTTTTGGCTCAATTATATGTTAATAAGTTTGAACACAATGAATTACTTGCATAGTCGGAGCAATGATAATGATAACAGCAGGCTAGCAATTGAGAAGTAATAGGTAATTCAGCAAGTTCATTCTAAAATATAGCATTCTGAACTCCTGCCTGAGCACTTAATATCAGATTAAAATTATAATACTTAGAAGACCACTCCCCAGAAGAAGGGAATGGTAAACCACTTTTGAGTGCTATCTACCTAGAAAACCCTGAAAAGATCATCATAAGTCAGAATTGATTTAGTGGCACACAGTTATATTATTATAAAGGACAGTTACTTAGGATGAGGCATACTTGACATATAGGCTCAAAAGTGTGGCAGAGGAAGGAGCCATGGCTGTTTTACACCATGCAGAAAAAGTAACACCTTACCATAATAGTAATACAAAAATATTGCCCCTAGCCAGAGCTATATATTCTGAAACTGATTGTATAAACAGATTCAATGGTCTGTGCAGTTACGTGTTATGTTGTGCAGCAGGGATGGGCTTCCCTAGTCAGAGGAATGGGGTCTTGAGAGAGGACTGGAAGTATGAAAATACAGTCTCAGAGCTGGATAAGGACAAAGTTAGTCTCTTGAAAAGAGCACAAGGCAGGCCAGCCTTATTCTGTGCACCTTTTATTCATGCACACAGTAGGTTTGGAATCCTGTTCACATCATTAGTATGTTGATATGATCTTTGTTTGCAGCCATATCTAGAAAAATTAAAGACTTATTTTCTTGGGCAAACTAGAATTTCAACTTCACAATCTTCACACTCAAGGGTGTTTCTTCAAATGTTTGTGCAGACCCTCTGGATGTTAAAGAAAAGGTGCATCCAACACTTGTATATTGTAGTTGCACACCTGGCTGGTGCCTGTTAGATATTAGAAAATGCTGCATCCTTGCATAATGATATCCAAGTTATTTCATACAGTTATTGTGAATATTGGAGAACATGGTGTGACTAAGGAGAATACTCCAAGGAAAAAATAGAAATAGGTTGCTTTAGAAAAGGAACTTCACAAAAGGCATAATGCTTTGTTATTCCTCTGTCACTCTGAACACAGTAATTTTGCATATTTTTGAAATTAATGTGTGTTTTTCTTTGTAGTTAAAAACAAACCCCATTCTCTGGATTATTTGGAAACACTGGACTTGAACTCCTATTCCCATAGATAGAATATCTCTCTATTTGAACATAAAAGTACATATCACGCCTGTGAAGAACAACTTAAAAACCACTAAGGGAACATTAAAAGGGCTTCCTAAATGGAAGTACTGCTTTTCTTATTCCTATTAAAGTACATCTTAAAAGCTAGTGAACTCTTTTCAAAATAAATTCCCTTATATACATGCAGTGCAGCCATGGCCAAAACCACACACATAGAAATAATGACCATTTTATATACAAACCTTGAAGTGGATGTTCAAACGTGTTTCTTTTGGCCATTGATTGTCTCTTACACTGAGAACATGGTACCCCACAATTCAAGTTTGCTGTGTGGTTGTGATGGGTGAGTGGCAAAGCAAGGCTTTTCTGACCATAAGAAGATTGAGACTTCCTACCATTGCACAGAAGGATCTTTGTGCATCCAGTAACTTAGTAATACATTCCTCTCCTTTTCCTTCTTCCTTTGCTAATATACAGTCACAGACCCACATTAAAATAAGAAGAACAAAATAAAATAATAATTATTTCATGTTCTTCTTCCCTGGCCATCTTTATACTTTTTTAAACCTCACTAAATACTTCTATTTTCTCAACATGCGAAACAGCACTTACAAACATCCCATGTTCTCTGACTGAACTCTGTTCTAACTAAGCCTCAGTGGATCAGACTATTTTCTGTCTGTGTCAGTTTCTCACATGTTCATATATTTGTTTCCCTGTGAATCTTTGTCACTATTTATTGTACAGTGGTGCCTCATTAGACAATTACCCCGCATGACAGTTTTTTCACTAGACATTGACTTTTTGTGATCGCTATAGTGATTCACAAAACAGTGATTCCTATGGGGGAATTTCGCTGGACAATGTTTGGTCCCTGCTTCGCAAACCGATTTTCGCTAGACGACGATTTTGACAGCTTCCTCTGTGCTCACAAAACAGGTGTTTTCGGGACCTAAGCTTCGCAAGACAGCAATTTAAACAGCTGATCGGCGGTTCGCAAAGCGGCTTTCCTATGTCCGATCTTCGCTAGACAATGACAGTTCTTCTCCACTGGAACACATTAAACAGGTTTCAATGCATTCCAATGGGGAAATGCTTTTTGCTAGACAATGATTTCTCTAAACAGCAATTTCAGTGGAACGGATTATCATTGTCTAGCGAGGCACCACTGTACATACTTCATGTATATTTTATGGTGAAATTTGTATCTTAATATACTGTTCATGCGTTTTTGTTGCCAAAATTGCATCATAAAATGAGAAGGTTAATTTTATTCCAATCCAATCTGCATACTAAAGGCACAAATAAAATTAGTTTGTTTTCAAAGGCAGATCAAGTTGCCTTCTAGACTCTAGAGCGAAGCTAACATAAAGTACCTTGAAGTCAATAGAAATAACTGTGGGGGAGCAGATCCTGTCCTAACAGCTTCATGGGATACTGACGTCTTTGCCATTGGTGTGAGTAATGGAAAGGCTCCCTGTGAGGATGCCAAGGATGGTCTCCTGAAAATCTATAGCAGTGTATGCTTAAAGAAAATGAAATAGGGTAACTACAGACAAAGGCCAGGGAAAGAAAAAGTCATGATTAGAAATAGGGATGCAAAAATCTGTGCTCTTCTTCCAACAGTCTTGGTCTGTTCCTGTTTCCCTAACAGGCTGTGTCCCCCACCCCACTTTGCATACACATTTTTCTCATACATGCATGTTTTTATATTTCTTTGCTTTGAGTAAAGTGTTTAAAATATCCATTTTCATCACATAGCTGTGCATAGAGATCTCTGCTTTCCCCTCCAGATGCACCTCCTGCTTTAAAAATATTTCAGTTTTAGAGTCAAGATGTGGCCTTTTCCTTTGGCAGTCTTAATAGGTAGCATTTTCACAAATCCAGTCAATTTATTTTCCGTTCCTGCTTCGGAGCTGCTGATAAAAACTAGAGTAAGATTGTGCAACCGCTTACATCTCTGCTCTGAAAGCAGAGTCAGGGAGGAGCTGAAGCGTCAAAGCTGCTTGCCAGCCATCTTCCTTCCATTTGAGACTGCAAGGAACCATCATCTGAACATGACCCCCTCTTTAGCACTCACACACTCACAAGGAAATTACTCTTCTCTGACTTCCCCAAATAGGGAGCAATTCCAGTCACACCAATAACACAGGTGTATTTTAGCATAGGAGTCAGCACTTCTTGTGCCTGGGATTAATAGAAGAAAAGTTACATTAAATGTACTTAGATGAAACAGACACCCCTGTATTACAGGTGTAGGAACTGTCCATGAGCAGACAGGCTTGTGGCAGGAATCATGCTGCAGATGTAGTGTCCTGTGAACTGGCTCTAAACATGGACACATTTAAAATAAGTGAAGAAGTCTGTGTGCTTAGAGCATGAAAAATAATACAATGTGTGCTGTGAGAATTCTTCAAAAGAAGAAGTGAGTGCTTCATTCCTTTATTTCGTGGTTACTCTTCTCTGGCAGGAGATTAGAGAAGCCTATGGAGAAAGGGCCTCTTCAATTTACCTTCTTCACACTATTGCTTTGGAGTTGAGGGATATTAACGGGGGGTTTGCCCTGTTAGCCCTATTGAGTGGCAGCAGTTTAACAACAACAACAACAACAACAACAACAACAGCAACAACAACAACAACAAAGGAGAGGTTTCAATTTGAACTCAGTTTTGACTCTTATACCCTGTTCTTTCATGTTCTGTTTCTGTAGCCGTAAAGAAAGACCCTACTATCAGTCTTACGCAGACAGTATTCCATGGTTTGAAAAATTGTTATTGTTACTTTGGCTCACATCTCTCAGAATTCCCTAATCAGCATTGGTGGGGTCTGGCAGCAATAGAACCAAAAAGTAGCTTCTATATGCTTTACTAGGAACTCATTCAGTGGTAGTACAAAGGGTTTCAAGACACACGTGTTTGTCTGCACCACCTGTGGAGATGAAGCTCCACCCAGCCCTTAGATGTTCAGGAACAACTTCTGAACAAGGAGCCTATTCATTCCTTGTAGATTCCTCAATTGACTTCGAACTCCAGAAGAGTGAGGAGTGAAGAGGATTCCTGTGAACCTGCACTCCCTTTGCGCTCATATTGACCCACTGCACAAGTAATGTCTACGCAGGACTTTTGTATGTCTGAAATTTGGCCAGATGCCTCAAGTTGAATTCTTTTACAATGTCTGTACAGTTGAAAAAAAGTAAAGCCAAAGAGATTCCCAATGTTGTAATCATGTTCTGCTCTATTAAAAACACAGTATTAAAAATGGCATAGTGTTTGTATATTTAGCTCATTCTGGTGTCGAGAAATTGGCTGGTTATATTTTTCTAATCAAGGAAAACACAGATGCATAAACATATACACACATGAGATTAAACCATCCATTCAATTTTTTGGCTTTACATGAAGAATGGTAGACGTTTATGTAATTGAACAGTTAGCGTTAAATTGCTTGATGGAATGAGGCATCCTTCATTTAGGATTTTTTGAAATGATATGTTAGTATTAAGAAATTCCCTTTTCACTATAAGTTGAGTTAGCTAATAGCTCCAGTGAGCATCTCTGTTGCAGATAAACAGCACACTCCTATTTACATAGAGAAGGTTCCAATTTTAATCCCTGGCATCTCTTGTAAAAAGGATCCTAGGGGACATAAAATAGAGAAGAGATTTCTGCTGAGACCTCAGAGAACTACAGCCTGTGAGACTAAATGTGTCTGTGATGGGTCCAGCGATGGGCTGACTTGGCATAGACAAGAATTGCTTACAGTTCTCACCAGTGGAGGAGACCAGAAGCTAGGCCTCATCTGGGTCTGGAAAGGATGGTGATGCCCACCTCAGTGGAAATTGTGAGAGATCTGACATGTGCAGACTCTACCTCAGCTCTGCTATGCCCCACAATTCTTCCTAGAACAAGATACATATTAATAGTCATGAAAGTGGAGAGTATTTAAAGGACTTTCTAGGGAAAAAATATAGATGATGGTATGAGAGAGAAACAAAACAAAATAAAAACAAAGGAAGAATAATGAGTAAGTCAAGAAGAACCTAAACAACAGTACTGGAATTACAGTCATTTGTGAATATTCTTTTTAATACTTTAGGATTTCATCTCTGTGGCACTGAAGGCAGACTTTCTTAGACATGTTTTTTTCTGCTGCTTTGGTTGACTGATTTAATTTGATGACTGAGTGAAGAGTGACAATTATTGGGAGAACACACCTCTCTGTCAGTCACAGTTCTAAGTGTGTCTCTTTCTGCCAAATTGTACACAGGCATAGGGGTGGCTTCATAATTTTTCCTGGAAAAGTACACTGAATTCATTCATTTATTTGAAAATGGATCTTTAAACATCATCTTGTTAGCTTTTGTACATAGAGCGGGACATAGTTTTGTTTTTTTTTTTGCCTCAGGAAGCCAATGTCTTTGGCCAGGCCTCTGTACCTGTGTTTTTACCTTAATATGCTGTTGTGTATTAGAGCAAGTTAGGAGTAATCAATTACCTTGCTGTTTAACTTTTTGATTGTGCTCTGTTTTGTCTTGCATTCTTCCCTGGCACGTCTTACATTCCATTACAATCTGAAATATGGACATAATGCTGAACTGTGGTTTTAGACAGGAACCACAAAAATAGGAAAAATAGGAGCAGGGCTAGTGCAGAATGTAAGGGTGACCCTTTGCTTCACTACTGTTAAGCATGAGTAAATGTTAGAACTGTACTGGTTACTGGTTCCAGTATCTTGCATCTTCTCACAAGGATTGGAAAATATAGTCAAATTGTTATTTTCCCCCCTCTTTAGGAGCAAAGTTTATTGGAATCTTCCCTATCCCGGATACATACAACCCAGATGATGACAAAATCTATTTCTTTTTCCGAGAAATTTCTCAAGATAGCACCACCTCTGACAGAACTATCCTTTCCCGAGTTGGCCGAGTTTGTAAGGTGAGCAATTGTGTATTTTAGTAAAGTGAACTCCATCGCGTCGTTTCCTTGATAAATACTAATTGCCCCAGGGAGGAAATTACTTCCCCCAAAGTGCTGTCTAGTCTACATATAATAATGTGGATTACTAATGAAGTCTAGAATTCTTGCAGCCTGTCCTGCACTGTTGGTTTAATAAGCCAGCTGGCATTTTGGAATTCCAATATTTTCACAATTGATAATGAAGTTAAATAGTAGCCAATTTAATTACCAGTCACTGAGTAGTGAGAGTCTCGTTCTCATTTCACAAATCATCATTAACCCAAACAAACTAATCTGGCCTTGTTTTTGTAGTTCCCTGGTATGTGTTTGCCCATTTGCTTTTCACAGGGGTTGGTCTGTATTCTTTCACCTTTCCAGTACCTGTCATTTGCTTATTTTAATTACCCAGAATTCCAATGCTTGTGGTTTGCCGTTGTGGTTTCCTTGCCTGTAACAACCTGCTTGCCATATTCCCACAATTTCTGACCACATCCACATTCTCGGTAATGCCTTTAGACCTCTAAGGCTGCCTTTGGTTTGCATTTTTTTAAACAGGAACCACTTCATTCCACATAAGAAGCTACTTCTGAAATGGGGGTGGGGGTGGGATTCCCACTGCATTTTTAGCTAAGAGGGGTGTCAGCTTTTCTTGGGGGGAAAAATCCCAGCATGTGCCTAAAACAGCACTTGGGATTGCAACTATATGTGTGCATTGTGTTTTCGGCTTGAAGATAGCAGAGCTGAACCAATTTTTCTTATAAAGCATTGTTTTTCTGAGAAGTTTTCTGGTTTTATCTCTGCTCCCATAACAACAGACGGCTGTTTTTGCATGGTAGGGAGGTAGGGTTTTTTTTCCTGTCATGCCACAGAACTCTATATCCAGGGTACTGTGAATTATATAAAATGGTGGTCAGATTTGTGGATCAAGCTTGGCCAGTAACCATGGGTATTGTTATGCAGGTTTTTTTTCCATATATCAAGGAGGAAGCTATGGGTAATTAAAAATTAGAAGAGAACATTTCCATACTTACAGATATACTAGACAAGAAGTTGGGGGAAAGAATTATATTTGAAACCAGGAGAAATTTAGGCTCATTAGCTGCAATTAGAGATCGGCAATCAGAAACATTGTTTTAATTTGTGATTTATTAGATTAGATTTAGATTATTCATCCTTAAATCTCAAGAGACTATGGTAACGTGCTCTTAATGGAGGACTTGGAACAACATCTAATGTGGCTGAGAAGGCCTATTCAGGAGTGACAATCCCTTCCACTCTGAAGACAAATGCAATCTGTCCCCTGACCAGCTCCCTGATTTTGCTGGTTTTGGGACTGCCTCTTTGCCTCGGTCTGATGGACAAGTGTCTCTTCAAAATGGGAGAGGCCATGATGCACCACGTGTCTCTAGGCTGAATGGTCAGATGTCAAGGTTTCCCATCTGTTGAGGTCCATTCCTAAGGCCTTTAGATCCCACTTGCAGATATCCTTGAAACACAGCTGTGGTCTCCCTCTGGGCAATTTCGCTGCACTTATTCTCCATACAGGAGATCTTTTGGAATCCGACTATCAGCCATTCTCATGAAATGCCCGAGCCAACATAGACATTGCTGTTTCAGTAATGTATACATGATAAAAATTCCAGCTTGTTCTAGGACTACTCTATTTGGAACTTTGTCTTGCCAGGTGATACCCAAAATGTGTCAGACACAACACATATGGAATGTGTTCAGCTTCCTCTCCTGCTATACACAGAGGGTCCAGGACTCACTGCAGTACAGGAGTGTACTCAGGACACAGGCTCTATAGACCTGGATCTTGATATATGCCGTCAGCTTCTAATTAAGCCATACTATCTTTGTGAGTCTAGAGAACATGAAAGCTGCTTTGCCACTGCATTTAGCCAGCTCGACATCTAGGGAGAGAGTGTCAGAGATCATTGAGCCAAGGTACACAAGTACAAGTGTTTTATTAAGGTCAATGAATAATGTACAATTATTTCTAACTGGTGAATAAATTCATTTTTGCCTTTAAAATGCTATAAGACAGCCCCTCAAACAGAGATGCCAAAATCACAGAGAAGCTACCCTGACTCTCCTCTGCAAGCCCTGCAGGTCTAGTGAAGTTTGAGTTTCAGATGTCAGAGTTATACATACACTGAGCAGCTGGCTTGGGGAAACCAAATCTTCACCAAACCTGGAGGGATTGTAGAGTCAGGGGAAACTTCTCTGTGATTTTGGTCTCTAGATGCCTGGGGGGCTGTTTTTTAGCCCAACAAATCAACAAATCAAAAATTACTAAAAATTCATTGATTCATATTCATCGGGTGAGAATGAATAGAAGAATTAGCAATATTTGACAAATTTTGCAATTCATTTTTTAATTTTTGCCCATCTCTAATTGTAACCATAAACTATGGTTTTGTCTTATGTCAGAACCAGCCTGGTATAAGAAATCTTCACTACAAGGTCATTATTTCCCTCTCTCCACTGAACAGTGCTCTCCAAAAACAATTTGTTACCTGAACTATAGCACCAAATATTATCTCTCCAGAGCAAGGTGCCCAATATTCAAGGCTGATTAAGTTCTTTGGCCTACTGAGCTCCCCTAGGAGATGCTTCTGGGCAATAAACAATTCAGTAATATCAAATTAAATAGAAACCATTTCATTCAGTCCCACAGTGGCTGCTCGAAATCATCATTTTGCTGTGTCTAATAGTAGGGTTAGCCATGCTGAGATAGCTATCCTTTCAAGTTTTTCTGAATGATGTTCTATCACGTGGTTGACTCAGACATTATCACATGCTATATATCTACAACAGCTGGACTATATCTGTTCCACCAGTATTGAATCTCATTAGTCCAACCGACTGGATAATCATTTGCAGTTGTGTAGGTGAGTGGGAGGCAGTTCTCTGGGCAGAGAATGAGCAGAACCTAAGTCTTCAAAGTTCAGGGAAAATTGTTAAGTGTTTTAACCAATTTGCCATCAGGACTCAAATGATGCTGCATCTTTGGGTCAAATTTATGTCAATATATTCACCTTACCTTGTAATTTGACATTTCAAATGACCAGTTATTCTTGCTTAGCATTCCTTCACTTCAAATTTCTTTGAAAGAAAGAAAGAAAGAACTAACCATATACTATTTAGATGCAGTTTTTAAGCTCCGACTCTTAATTCAAGTTTGTGTCATGTTTCACTCCGCGTACCACCAAGGGGATAGAGTTATTAATTGCGAGGAAGTTCTTTCAACATTCACAATCAGGCTGAAATGCATAATTTGTCATGACAAATGGCATTTGTGATATTTTGCTTTTTAGGAAAAGAAGTTATCAGCAGCTTATCTGCAGTAGCCAGCAATTCTTATTCTGCTTGGGGAAAACTAGAATGTTCCCACTAATATCAAATGAAATAGTGAGAAGGCCTTTGTTTTGGTTTGGTTTCCTTTATAAAGGATTAGGTATTTCTAACACTAGTCAAAGAGTTCACAAACAACTCAGGTTTGAAAGTGTGTCAACACACTGCTTCATAAATGATGCATGATTCGTGCACATTTAAAGAGGGGACAACGGAATCAGTCTGTTTGCATCCTATGTCATGTTTATTCACTCATAAATCCATATTACAGTATCTCCTTTTCACATTGATCTGTGATTTTTTTTTAAAAAAAGGACCATCTCTTTCAATTTTCTTAACTGAGTGGTAACCATCTAATTAGAGTTTATATCATATGTATGTAACTTTCCATGGCTAATAGCAGCTAATCAACAAGGTGCTGGAACATGTCTCAGTTGTGTGCGTGGCTATGTATTCAATTGTGTCACCAAGATGCATCCGATTTGCCAGTTTGCTGTAATTAGCCATGACAAATTACACAAATCTTATATGAACATTTATTTATTTATTTATTTATTTATTTATTTATTTATTTGACTTCTATACCGCCCATCTGGCTACAAGGCCAGTCTGGGCAGTTTAAACTTTAAAAAGAGATACAAAAAATAAAGACCTTGTCAAATTACAACCATCAGTGATGGGTATCATTTGACCTGAACGCACCTTATCTTTACTGATCTTGGAAGCTAAAGGTAGCCATGCTTGGCTAGTAGGTGGCTGGGAGACCACTGGAGAATCAGGTGACTGGGGAGAAGTTAAAGCTTAGTGGTGGAGCACATGCTTTGGATGCAGAAGGTCCCACATTCAGTTCCCAAATTACTCAAGCTAGGGCTAGGAAAAATCTTTCCTGAAACCCTGAAAAGTCATCGCATGTGTGAGCTAACTGTACTGGATGAATGGTCTCACTCCGTATAAGGCAACTTCTCATGTTACACTTCGGGTAGAATATTTACTTATTGTAATATATCTCAACATGTGAGATATTCCACAATATCTTACATATTGCACAGTATCTACAATATTTTAATAATGGCACTGTTCAAATAATATATTAGCAAAATTATAATTTGCCAAAAAGAAAGAAGCACCAACCCACTCCCCCCCCAAAAAAACTTTTTTTTTTGTGACACTGTCTGAGGAAGATAGTAAAAGTAATGAGAATCAATCAGAGATGGGCAGCATGTGGTAAGATCGCAAGAGGATTTACTGCTGTTTATCCTGTGCCCTGGTCCATCAGACTCTATCCCAATGTGCCAAAGTAGTCGCTGATATACATAATCCAGATCCCCATCCCTAGTCATTTCCAGACTCTTCTTTTATGGGAAAAAAGGAGATTCTAGAAACGTTCATTTCCTTATACTTTGTTCATTCATGCCAGGACAAAAGCTATGCTGCTTCCTGGTTGTTTTGCCCAGACATGTTGTGGAATATGCAGACAGGAACATACCTCTTAATTATTTTTGTCCTTTACTCACTGATCCGGGACTAGTCTTTTGAAAAAATGTCCTGCAGTAGATACCGTGTGTGTTGGGGGTTTGCCAAATAAGCACCTTTTTAAAATGGCATTTCCCACGCACTTTCGC